TTCAATTGACCGCGTAAATCTTGGTATTACTGTACAGTATAATTTACTATGGTTCATCATATTCATGATAGTGCAGTGTTTAAAATGTCTGAATTATTTTTTTTCTTAGTGCATGAGGGACAAAATGCAAAAACAATGTAATGAAATTTAGCATGCAAGCATCTGTCAACCACTGGCTACCATCCCTGCCCCACAGTCAGAACACTGAAAACCACTAGTCACCATAACATCAAAGTATCTATGAGCAAATTATGTTATTTTATACTGAATGTGAATGTTTACCTATATAGTTTATAAGCAGTGATTATTATTTGTTTTAAATTTGTAGTGTTAAGAGTTTGTGAAGTATCGTATGTGTAACAGTGGGAGGTGTGGGTAGTGGGCCAGTGGCACAAAGTTTTGTTGTTAGTAGCAATGTGGGAGTTGGAGTAGGTAGTGACCTGGGTTTGTTGAGGTGGTGTCAGCGTGGATATTGACAAAGTTATAGTACTGTGGATGGCAGTATTGGAAATGGTGTGGGTAATGAAATATGGTTATATTATGGGTGGTAGTGTGGGTAATTACACAAGGTTATGCTGTGTTATGGGAGGTGTTGTGTTGAGGGTGGCAGTGTGGAGAGTGACAAAAGGTTGTAGAGTGGGTAGCACTGTGGTAGGTGGTGTGCATATTGACAAAAGGCTGTTTTACAGGAGGCCATGTGGGAGGTAGTGTACACTCTCCCAAAAAGGTATTGACCCCTTTTCTCATCGACACAATGTGTCACAATAGACAACTATTTCCAATCACTAATTGTGATTCCTGCATTATGTTGGTAGACCCGCCTTCCTAATATCTGTGAGGCTGCCAGTTATTATTTCTGATAGTTGTTGTAATTATGGTGAATCACCGTACTCCATCTTTAATAGATTAAAATAATGATATTAATGTAGCAAAAATAATCAATGGCAGTCAAATAGAGGGTGCTTTCTGCTGGAAATTCATGACTAACACTAGTACCCGAGACTCACAGGAAAACACAGCTTGCACCGACAGATGTAGTTCGTAGTGTGTATCAGATAATGATCCAAGGCCAGCACAAATCATGAGATGATACACTGTACAGTAGAACGTCGATTTAATGCGAATCAATTTAAGATTATTGATTTAAAGCGACACCCACAATAAAGGACAATGTTTTAATTTAAAGTAAATTTTTCCTATTTTGACCGAGCCAATCAAGGCGCATCATATTTTAAATTTTGTGCCTATTGTTTCCCTCTGGACACGCTACATGGCTGCCCGCCACCCTATCACACCCTCACGCATCCTCAGTTCTCGCGCTGACGCTCTAGTTAACGGACATACTGTATGACACTGTATGACACTATCTTTTCTACCACGTGCATCAACCATCGCCACTATGTCCAAGAGGCCAACTACTACATCATTAACTACCCCAAAGGCCAAGAAATCAAGGCAAGCAATTACACTGGAGCAGAAAATCAAGGTGCTGGAAGCACTGCAGTGTGGAAATGGTGCTTCAAGTGTGGGACGTCAATTTGGAATGTCAGAGAGCTCTGTCCGCACTATAAAGCTCAACGAGATGAAAATTAGAGCAGCCTATGCTTCACCAGATGTTGCCAAGGGTAAACTCCACCTGAAGAGTGCTATGTATGGTGAGATGGAAGAAGCACTTAAGTTATGGGTAGAAGACATGCAGCGCCAAAAATTTTCACTCACTGGCCCCATGCTACAAAACCAAGCCTACGAAATACAGTCTCGTATACTTGAAAAGGAAGGGAAGTCCATCAAAGACAGTAAATTCAGGTGAAACTGCATCTGCTGACGCAGAGGCAGCTGAGGATATAAAGAAAGTTATGAGGGATATAGTGTTAGAAAATGGTTATTCTCCTTGCCAAGTGTGAAATTGTGATAAAACGGGACTGTATTGGAAAAGAATATCCAAAAAAACCTATCTAATGAAGAATGAAGAAAAAGCACCAGGGTTTAAGGTCATCAAGGACAGACTAAACGATTCTCCTCATGGCGAACGCATCAGGCACCGCACGAATGAAACCAATCGTCATCCACCACTCAGCTAGACCTCGTGCCTTGAAAAATGTGCTCATCCTGAAACTTCCTGTAATTTGGCAATCAAACAGGAAGGTGTGGATGTCTTTTGATATTTTCGATGAGTGGTACATCAGCCATGCCAACCTATTCATCGAAAATGTAAAAAAAAAATTAATCTTAACAACAATGCCTTGGTTTTCATGGACAACGTATCTTGCCACTCCAAACACCTGTGCAGTGTGAATATGGACGTAAACTTGGCCTTCTTTCCTCCGAACATGACTTCACTTATTCAGCCACTAAATCAAGGTGTTATTGCCTTGTTCATGAGATATTATCTCAAGTTTACCATGAAGCAAATGGCTGAAGCTATGAACAAGGACAACAATATGATTGCAGCAATGTTTTGCAAGAGCTACACCATCAAAGATGCCATAACTAACATCACACTTCTTTGGAAAAGTGTGCCAGAAACTGCACTAAATGGAGTGTGGCATAATCTGTGGCCTCAGGTAGTCCATGACTTAAAGGGCTCTGATGAAGGCAAGGACGTGAAAGACACTATGAAGCTCGATAAGAAGTGAGAGGTGATTCACGATTTCAAGAAATCCAAGAAGAGGATGTGACTGAACTGCTTCTCAGCATGGAGGATCCTCTCACTTCTGAAGTCTTGGAGATGATGGAGATGGCGAAGAAACACGAGAAAGAAGAGGAAGCAACAGATAAGCCCCAAACAGTGGGGAAGGAACTGACAATTCCTAAGCTGAGGGAGTTTATGCAGCACGTCACTTCTGCCACCCAGTCTGCACTGCAACATGACCCTGATATGGAATGCAGTATGCAAGTGGTGGAAGCATTGAATCAGGCTGCATCTAGGTACTCTCAGCTAGATCAGATGGTTATGGCCCAGCAACAGAAGAAAATTACCCCATTCTTCCATCCATTATCCTCATCCGGTGAGTTTGTTATAAAGCTGAGTATTATGAAACTTAGTGTTTATTGCTTGGAAAAAAGACATTAAATTTTGGGTGTACGATATGTAATAATTATGTGGTAGACTTTCAATAATTTATTGAATGCTTTCCATTCCTTCAGCTCCTGAAGTAGCTGGCCCATCTACGCCTGGGTAGACATGGCCGTCATCCAGTGCTTCCCACATGTCAGATGTGTCAATAGCCACACCACTAGACAGTGTATAGACAGTGTTGTGGATGATGAGCTGGTCGAGTTGGGCTCTGCACCTTCAGAGGATGAATTGCCTAACCAAAGGTGATTGAAGATCTATTTTTGATAGCATAAAGTAATTGAAAAATAAGTTGAGAGGAAAGTGAGTCAGACGAGAGGCGGGTGGAGCGTGGCACCACCCTCCCCCATCAGCTGATGCTAGTAAACAGACCATTTCGCATCCAGTAATTTTAGCTGTGTTGATTTATGAGTGTTTGTTTTAGCATAATACTACAGCCTGAACAAAACAATGTTTTGTTTATTCTAGGAGATGGGCTGAGGTGCATCTGGGTGTATACTCTCAGTCGGGGAGGGCCAGTGGCCCGAGGCAGCTGACGGTACTACACAGTATCAGTACCGTCCAGCTCTCAACTCGACTGCAGGGAGTGCTTGCTGCATATATATCATTACACCATATATTTTTCTCATATTTACTAGTTAATAAAAGTCTTTGTTAGTATTTTGTTTCTCTCTCAAGTACCAAACTAAATTATTCCATTTTAACAACACTTCGATTCAGCGAGAATTCGGTTTAAAGTGACCTTTCTTGGAACGTATCTCGCGTTACATCGACGTTCTATTGTATTCATAATTGCTACCTCATCAATTGAGGTAGAAATAATATTGAAATGCCAAAAATCATAATGTCATAGTAATTGGATATGGCATCATAGTACACCTGTAATTATTATACCTGTATTTGCAAATGAATGTAATCTCAGATCATAATGTTTCATATTTCGTTCGAAGAGATTCCATTGTAAACACGGTTCATGAAAACATAGTAACGTTATATTCCTATTTGGCAACCCCTCCCCTGGGGCTGAAACAGTATCTAAAGTGCATAAGTCAGCGGGGTTACTCTATGACATTATTGGTTTTGCATATGGTATCACAATTCATTCTATTTCATTACATTATGTATATAATAGGTGGTATACTGCAGATATCATGGTGATTAACAGGTGCAAGAAGAAAGAACGAAAGGTGCAACTCACAATCAGAAATACTAACCGAACCGAGACTGTTGTGCACGTGTTATTGTGTTCATTTCCAAATACATCAGGCCGGGGGGGGGAGGGGGGGGTAATTTTTTGGGAGAGTCTACACAGAACAGTTGTAGGTTGTGAGGGGAGTGACAGTCTGGGAGGTGAAAAAATGATGCAGATGGAAGTATGAAATATACTAAAGGTTGTGGCATAAAGTTGTGATTAAAGAAGCACTGTGAGAAGTCACGTGAATAGTGAGATACAGCCATAATATGTATGGAAACATGACGTAGGTAGTGAGAGAAGGCCATATTTTGGGTGACAATAAGGTTAGTGGTTGTGTGTTTGTAGGACATGTGGACAGTGGTATAATTTGCATTGTGGGTGAGTAGGATCATAATTAAGTTTTCATGGCACCAGGCCTGCCACATCCCATCACATCCACTTATCATGGCAGACTTGACCACCACTGCTACTGCCAATACTACCACCACTAACCAGAAACTCCAAAGTAATTACATGTTGAATCTATTTGTACTGTAAACTATGTTTGCAGCATTCTAGTGGACAGAATAATACTGAGGTGAAGTAACTGTTGCTCATAGACACTACAAATGATTTATTCATTCCTAAAGTCCTGAACACTTCATGTGTCTGCACTCAAAAATATTAATATACATAATATAATAAATTATTCACAATTAAAAACACAAAAAACATACAGTATAACCATACCTTATGCAAACTTTGAGGACACGAAAGGCCAGCTCCTCACAACGCGACTCAATCATTGTGTCCACACGAACACGTACCACCTCCCAGGTCTCATTTGAGATGTACTTTATAGCTGGAAAAATATAATAATAAGATTTTTAGACAAAAACAAAACAAAAACATGTATCACTGTTCCTCAACCTACTAAAATTACAAGGCAACAAATGAATGACTGATCATAGAAAACTCATTTTATTGCTAAGTCAAGACAAGGAGACTCGGGTATAAAACACAAAATATTATAGGTTGTTCCCCAGGGTAACCAACATTGATGGCTAGCCCTAATAAAATAAATAGTAATAATCACCAGGTGCAAACCAATCCCTTAGACAGGAGTCTGGGATGCATCAGTCACCACTCATAGCTAAATGCTTAACCGCTAATATGCGGTCAACGTACATATACACGGCAATAGGGCATTATGGTCACTGTATATGTATACTCTCCATTCGTCATGATTTTTAAAGGCCTATTGACTTACTGGATTCCCAATGTTTACATATCGAGTTGTTGCATGCATAGGTAATGCGTGGGTGTGTATGCATGTGAAAGACTAAGCATAACAGTAAACATCATTATATATAAAAGATGCATGTGTGTGTATGTTTATTTCATCTCATATTCTGTACTGTAAAGAAATATTCTAATTTTGTTGCACACAGAGGTCTTGTGCGTGAGTTTGTCTGTCTGTGTCTGTGTATTTCATGGTATATGGTGTGAGATGTGTATAGTAGGTCTAGGAGCACAGTTTATGAAAGGTAAACACACAGCTGTGTATATTTGAAGTTGGCAAAAATTTAATATTATAGTCTTTGGTAGAGTAATATTATTTTTACAAATACCTGTATTGGTGTACCATAAATAGCATAGACAGAATGTAAACATTGTTCTAAATTATTATACGATACTATGAACTACTTTCCATGTTATTTTAACAATAAAATCCTGAAAAACTAAATTTTTTCCCATCAAACAAAGCACGTGATAACCAGGCCACCCTTAGACTAGTCCACCACTACCATTGAGTCTCCAACAACTTCACAGGCACCCCTCCAAACATCTCCACATGGGTTCCTCCACAATAAAACGCACAATATAGAGCATACCCCCAATATAGTGGATACTGTCTACAGGTTGACCATCAAAAATCCGCCAATCAATAAACCGGAACCTTCAGTTTTCCGGCATGGATTTCGGAGCGCATTTTCAGATTTCCTGCCTTGGCGCACCATTGTTTTCGGACGCGCCGTTTATGTTTTGATAGCACTGTACTCCAGAATCAGCTGTTGGGTCTTGCTTGCACCTGCTAACAAGCATTCATGCTCATTCCTTCTGATTTTATCATTTAATTGCTGCTGTATAGCCCCATCATGGATTCAGCAAAGAAAAGCGGTGGCGTAAAACGTAAACATCGTGCGTTGTCGATCGCAGAGAAAGTGGAAGTGCTCAAAAAACTTGATAACGGCGTGTCTGTGCGAACCATTTGTGAAACATACAACATAGGCTCTTCAACAGTGTATGATATTAAAAAACAGAAAGAAAAACTGTTAAAGTTCTTTTCTGACAGTGGATCAAAAAGGAAAATGTTTGTAAGGAAGTCAATGTCGGAGGGAAAAAGTGCGGAACTAGACCAAGTTCTCATAACCTGGTTTAAACTTCGTGTAAGTGAAGGTGTGGAAATTTCTGGTGATTTATTAAAGGAACAAGCCAAAGTGTTTCATGAAGAGCTGGGATTGCAACACAAGTGTGACTATACAGAAGGTTGGCTGCAACGTTTCAAGTCGCGACATGGCTTACATTTTCGTGCAGTATGTGGTGAAAAACATTCAGCAGACAAGGATGCAGCTAGTGCCTATGTGGATGAATTTGCAAAGTTAGTTAGTGATGAAAATTTAAGTCCTGAACAAGTGTACAATGCTGACAAGACTGCCTTATTTTGGAGATGTACGCCAAAAAGAACTCTGACAACTGAGGATGCAGAATCGCCATCGGGGTTTAAAGCTTCGAAGGATCGCGTCACAGTAATGTGCTGCTCTAATGCTGCGGGTACCCATAGATGTAAGTTGCTTGTTATCGGAAAAAGTTTACATCCGAGGGTCTTTAAGGGTATGACACGGTTTCCTGTCCATTACCGTGCCAACAAGAAGGGGTGGGTTACCACTGATATTACATTGGATTGGTTTCATAAATGTTTTGTTCCTGAGGCCAGGGCTCACTGTAACTCATATGGACTAGACCCTAAATGCAAGATACTTCTTATTTTAGACAATTGTTTGGCATATCCAAAAGTCGATCTTCTAGTGAAAGATAATGTTTTTGTTGCCTACCTCCCACCCAACTGCACATCACTAATTCAACCACAGGACAATGGTATCATACGTTCTATGAAGTGTAAGTATCGATCCCTGTTAATGAGGAGCCTAGTGAGTTCAGTTAATTCAGGCACCCCAGTACAGAAATTCATAAAAGAGTTCAACATTAAGGATGCAGTGTACTGTGTTGCCAATGCTTGGAAGTCTATTAAAACATCAACACTGAAAAATGGATGGCATAAATTGTGGCCAAGTTTAATGTTTACTTCTCATTCTAACGAAGACACAGAAAATGATTTTGCAGGGTTTAGGGTTTCCAAAGAAGAGCAACTTATACATGAACTTCTTGCTTATGTTAAAGATGTAACTAATCCTGATGCCAAGGAGCTTTCATCAAGAATAAATGAAGATGTTTTAACAGAATGGTTGGATGTTGATGATAATGTGCCTACAGTTCATCATTACACTGATTCTGAAATTGTAGATATGGTTAAAAGTCCGGAGAGAAATGCCTGTACAGGTAGTGATGAAGATGAAAGCAGTGAAGAAAATGAGGAAGATGTGAGAGACAGAATCTCTATTGACAGGTTAATTACGTTGACAACTGAACTGCTGGCTGGACTAGAGCAACGAAGTTTTGTAAATGAACAAGAAATCATGAATGTTTTCTTGCTCCAAGATAAACTTATTAGAGAAAGACCCAAGTATATGAAGCAACAGACATTGCACGATATATTCAAGGCAAGTTGAACCTGTTCCTGTTGCTGAGGATGTTGTCACTGTCAGTGATAAAGATAATAATCCTGACAGCCCATCTGCTGTTTAGCCTGGTAAACATTAAAATTTCATTTGCTTTTCATTTAGTGTTTAATTTTCTTTTTTTTAAAGGACTGTACAGGTAGTAATTTTCTGTTAAATATACTGTATACAGCATATATAATAAAATTTCATTTGCTTTTCATTTAGTGTTTAATTTTCTTTGTTTAAAGGACTGTACAGGTAGTCATTTTCTGTTAAACTTATACAGCAAATATAACCATCAGTTTTCCGGCATTTTCGAAAATCCGGCACTCCTCAGGTCCCGAGGTTGCCGGATTTTTGATAGTCAACCTGTATAGCGGGCCTCGGCTTTAACAGACACTTTGACCCATTAGGACTCGGGTCCGTTAAAAGTAAAATATTACTATCATGTCCGTTATGGTAAACAATTTAAACTCAGGTCTATTTGCATAAAAATTATCACAAATAATTACAGTAGTACAGTAGAACATCGATTTGAAGCGAATCGATTTAAAGCGACACCCACAATTAAGGACACCTTATCAATTTAAAGCGAATCTTTTCTATTTTACGCAAGTCAAATCTGGCGAGTCATATGGAAACACACTATTTTAAGTTTTGCGCCTAATGTTTCCCGCCAGACACGTCTCTGGGCACGCTACATGGCTGCCCGCCGCCCTCTCACACCCTCAAGCATCCTCAGTTCTTGAGCTGACGCTCTAGTGAACGGACATACTGTGTGACACTATCTCTTCTATCACGTGCATCAACCATCGCCACTATGTCCAAGAGGCCAGCTACTACATCATTAACTACCCAAAAGACCAAGAAATCAAGGCAAGATATTACGCTGGAGCTGAAAAACAAGGTGCTGGAAGCACTGCAATGCGGAAATGGTGCTTCAAGTGTGGGACACATATTTTGGACTGTCAGAGAGCTCTGTCCGCACTATCAAGCTCAACGAGAAGAATATTAGAGCAACCTATGAAATACAGTCTCGGTTACTTGAAAGGGTAGGGAAGTCCATCAAAGACAGCAAGTTCACAGCAAGTACAGGCTGACTGTACAAATTTATCAAAAGAACGGGGCTACGGAATGAGACACTTTCAGGTGAAGCTGCATCTGCCGATACGGAGGCAGCTGAAGATATGAAGAAAATTCTGAAGGTTTTAGTGTTAGAAAATGGTTATTCTCCTTGTCGAGTGTGGAATTGTGATGAAACTGGACTGAATTGGAAAAGAATGCCCAAGAAAACCTATCTAATGAAGAGTGAAGAAAAGGCACCAGGGTTCAAGGTCAGCAAAGATAGACTGACGATTCTCCTCATGGCCAACGCATCAGGCACCACACAAATGAAGCCACTTGTCATCCACCACTCAGCTAGACCTCGTGCCTTGTAAAATGTGCTCATCCCAAAACTTCCTGTAATTTGGCAATCAAACAAGAAGGCGTGGATGTCTTCTGAGATTTCCATGAGTGGTAAATCAGCCATGCCACCCCATTCATCGAAAAAAAAAAAAAAAAATGAACCTTAGTAACAAGGCCTTGGTTCTCATGGACAACGCATATAGCCACTCTAAACGCGACTTCACTTACTCACTAGATCAAGGGGTTATTGCCTTGTTCAGGAGATATTATCTCAAGTTTACCATGAAGCAAATGGCTGAAGCTATGAACAAGGACATCAATATGACTGCAGCAATGTTTTGCAAGAGCTACACCATCAAAGATGCCATAACTAACATCACACTTCTTTGGAAAAGTGTGCCAGAAACTGCACTAAATGGAGTGTGGCATAATCTGTGGCCTCAGGTAGTCCATGACTTTAAGGGCTCTGATGAAGGCGAAGACGTGAAAGACATTATGAAGCTCGTTAAGGAAGTGAGAGGTGATACAGGATTTCAAGAAATCAAAGAAGAGCATGTGACTGAACTGCTTCTCAGCATGGAGGATCCTCTCACTTCTGAAGTCTTGGAGATGATGGAGATGGCGAAGAAACACGAGGAAGAAGAGGAAGCAACAGGTAAGCCCCAAACAATGGGGAAGGAACTGACAATTCCTAAGCTGAGGGAGTTTATGCAGCACGTCACTTCTGCCACCCAGTCTGCACTGCAACATGACCCTGATATGGAATGCAGTATGCAAGTGGTGGAGGCATTGAATCAGGCTGCATCTAGGTACTCTCAGCTAGATTAGATGGTTATGGCCCAGCAACAGAAGAAAATTACCCCATTCTTCCGTCCATTATCCTCATCCGGTGAGTTTGTTATAAAGCTGAGTACAGTAGGCTCTCGCCAATAACGACTTCCACAATAACGTTTTCGACAATAACGGTAAGTTACAATAGATACCCATTTTCGATAATAACGTCTGGATTCTCTTGAATAACGGAAATTTCGTGGGAAGCGTCCGAGCGCATCAATGGTAGCGTTTGTTTGCCGCCATGTTGATGAAGTAGTTGTCCACTCCGCCTCACTCTCACACACGCTCAGTGGAATACAGCGCTGCGCCCACGTGTGAGATTTTCGCCACTATAACCAGCGGTTGTTAGGGTCGGTGATCAATAATGGCTTCTGCATTTTTGCCTGTGGGGGCTAGGGGAGGTGGTGGAGGGAGTGATTTGCCACCTGAATGACTGGGAACTTTTAAAGTGAGGAAATTGAACTGTCCTGAGTCTACAGTGTGAAATATTAAGAGGAACTTAGAGGAGACCAAGAAGAGTATTGCGCTGGCTAAAAATATTTCGGTAGTGATGGAAATGCGAGGCGAGCTATGAATGATAAAGGCGATAGAAACAGGTTGTTAGTGATAACAGAGCATTTTCTTGTGAAATGGTTAGGTTGTAGAATGAAAGACAGTGCAAGTGTTAGTGACCCTCAGATACGGAACAACCATCTCACCAAGCACCTCAAAAACTCCCCCAAGCTCGGTGTCATATTACTCAAACTCTTTATTTTGATGATTGAATAACAATTCTTTTCATTTCAGCTAACAAAAAGTGTTAGGAGGGCTTCAAGGGGAAAAAATGGGTGAAATTCTTGTGGCGGCAGCACCAATAAACCCTTTTTACATTATTTTAATGTCACACAAATAACGTTTTCGCTAATAACGGTGTTTTTCAGGCACCTATTAAACGTTATTGGTGAGAGCCTACTGTATTATGAAACTTAGTGTTTTTGCTTGGAAAAAAAGACATTAAATTTTGGGTGTACAATATGTAATAATTATGTGGTAGACTTTCAATAATTTAATGAATGTTTTCCATTCCTTCAGCTCCTGAGGTAGCTGGCCCATCTACTGTACGTCTGGGCAGCAGATACGGCCGTCATCCAGTGCTTCCCGCTTGTCAGATGCGCCCACACCACTAGACAGTGATGTGGATGATGAGCTGGTCGAGTTGGGCTCTGCACCTTCTGAGGATGAATTGCCCAACTAAAGAGTGAAAATCTATTTTTGATAGCATAAAGTAATTAAAAAATAAGTTGAGAGAGAAGTGAAAGTGCTTGGTGAGTGGTAGGGATGGAGTGAGGCAGACGAAAGGTGGGCGGTGTGCGGCGATAGATCGACCACCCTCTCATATCAGCCGATCGCCAATTAACAGACCATTTTGCATCCCGTAATTTTAGATGTGTTGATTTATGAGTGTTTGTTTTAGCATAATACTACAAAAACAGGGGGAGGGCCAGTGACATGAGGCAGCAGACGGTACAGTGCAGTACCACGCAGTAACAGTACTGTCCAGCTCTCAACTCGACTGCAGGGAATGCTTGTTGGATATATATCATTACGCCATATATTTTTCTCATTAGTTAATAAAAGTCTTTTTAGTATTTTGTGTTTCTCCCAAGTACCAAACTAAATTATTCCATTGAAACAACACTTCGATTTAGTACGAATTTGGGTTAAAGCGACATCTCTTGGAACGTATCTTGTGTTATATCGATGTTCTACTGTGCCCAGTTTAGTGCTAACCTGCATAACGTTGATTCATTATAGAGCTCTTTGGTCTTCTGTTGGAGCTATTTTATACTAAAAAAACAACCCTCCTAAAAAAAACTATGAAAAACCATAATACAGTGGTCCCTCGGTTAACGAATGGTTCGATTAACGAAATGTCGGTTAACGAATTAGCTTCCATAAGGATTTTCAGTTCAATTAACAAACAAAACTTCGATTAACGAAATTCTTACGACAAACACGTTTTGTTGTGCGCATCAGCTGATCGGCTAGTCCGCCAATACAGTAATTGGTTCTATGTTTACATTCCTTTCCAGTGGAGTAAATACAGCTCCTCCCGACTTACGACCACCCGGACATGCGACCGCCTCAGTCGTACCAAAATTCTGTCAAATTACATATTTTCGAGTCCCAACGTCAGTGATTGCGCTGTGTACCGACAAAATTTTCGTTTGTAATTCACTTTAAAATGGCTGGCAAGCTGAAAAGTGAGAATTTTGTGGTGCTGAGAAGAAAAAGAGACACCAATTTTAGATTTTCTATGTGTTATTTAAGCACTTTCAACTTACGACCATTTCGACTTACGACCTGGATTTGGGTACCTAACCCTGTCATAAGTCGGGGAGGAGCTGTATGAAGAAAGTTGGTCTCTTGAATATTTCTGCATTTATTATATTAAAATTATTGGTCATTCTGAAATTTAGTTAACATATTGATAATATAGACAGTACAGGGAACAGTTTGTGTGTGCCAATCAGCTGATTGAATCACCCAACAACACTTCTCAGTTTAAGTTTGTTTACAGTGGAGTGAACATCGATTTTGTTGGTCTCTTGAATATTTTTGCATTTTTACAATAAAATTATTGGTCATTCTGAAATTTAGTTAACACATTGATAACATACAGTGCAGAAATTATTATGAAACACGAAGAAGGCATTAGAACCAATGCATAAGTCATCATCGACTGCCTCTACAATCAGCTGTTTGATATGTAAACAAAGCTGCCGGGAATACGACACACACACCTCAAAGTAAGTTAAAATACAGCATTCAATTGTTTTTTATTTATTATTGCACAGTACTGTATTTAGTATATATTTAATGTTTTGTTAATTCTATTACTGGTATACAGTACTTTGTATGTACTTTTTCTGTGAGTTGGAACCAATTACCCAATATCCCATTAAATAATAGATTCGGTTAACGAAATTTTTTATTAACGAACGACTCTGTGGAACCAATTGTGTTCGTTAACCGAGGGACCACTGTACAAGGCAGAAGTTATAAGACAGAACACTCAGGACTTGCCATTACCAGCCATGTTTGTTTACATTCTCTTCCCCAATGATAGCAGCGTACCCATGTATGCTCGCAGCCAATCAACGCTCTCCTCGTGTAAACAAAAAATTCCAGTAGCATTAAACTTACGTGACACGCTCGCTCTTTATGATTGATTTCTGCATTACTGTATAGTGAATATGTGACCTAAGTTATATTTTACTCGGGGAAAAAAAGAAAAGAAAATCCATAATACAAGTCAGCTGTTCATTTGTGCCTGGCAGTGCAGCAGTCATTATTATGCATCATGCCCCCTCAACACTTATAAAAAGTCAGTACAGTATGTCTTCTTATCTATTTTATTCTGGCTACCACCAAACAATTTTATTCAGCTGGGGAAGTTCCATTTATCATCCGTGCCTAAGCAGGGAGGTCTGAACTCTTAATGCTTTCCTTGTGGGTGCCTGCAGTGCTTTTGCATTTTGCCTTGTACAGGATGCATGGGTTTAGGAGGAACAAATAAGCATAATGGTAGTAAAAGCAACCACCTGATCTTAATATATTTCCATTAATACTTAGGAAAAAAATTTAAAATATAAAATTTTTTTTAGTCAAAGCAAGGAAGAAAAGATCATAACCTTGAATTTTTGTAAACCAAAGCTTTGTAAATTGGGAAATACCAGTAAATTAACTTTCTAATGAAAATAAGAGCAATATTTATGTGTCGTAATACAGTGGTCCTTCGGTAAACGAACACAACTCAATCTACAGTCGTTCGTTAACTGAATCTATTATTTCAATGGGATATTGGGTAATTGGTTCCAACTCACAGAAAAAGTATATACAAAGTACTGTATACCAGTGACAGATTTAACCAAACATTAAATATAAATTAAATACAGTACTGTACAATAATAAATAAAAGACAATAGAATACTGTACTATATTTTAACTTACTTTGAGGTGTGTATGTCATATTACCGGCAGCTTTGTTTACATATCAAACAGCTGATTGTAGAGGCAGTCGATGATGACATGCCATATTCTTTACAGTGCATTGGTTCTAATACCTTCTTCATGTTTCATAATAATCTTTGCACTGTATATTACCAATATGTTAACTAAATTTCAGAATGACCAATAATTTTAATGTAAAACTGCAGAAATATTCAAGAGACCAACTTTCTTGATATTTGTTTCACTGGAAACGAATGTGAACGTAGAACCAATTACTGTATTGGCGGACTAGCCGATCAGCTGATGCGCACAACAAAACGTGTTTGTCGTAAAGATTTCGTTAATCAAAGTTTTGTTCGTTAGTTGAACTGAAAATCCTTATGGGAGCTAATTTGTTCACTGAAATTTTTTTAATCAAATCGTTCATTAACCGAGGGACCACAGTACTGTATATGAATAACAAGGATAAAGCTTCATACCTTCACTATCCTGAACCTCTGAATCAGAATCAAAGAAGATAGTCTTTGTCGTATGACCCCATGGGTCTGATACAAGAGGTAATAAAGTATGACATAAAGGCTGTAAGACAGCCACACGGGAACATCGCTGAAGTGTAACTCCCAGCCGAGTCTTCACAATTTGGGCTAGGCCTGGCCACTCTCCCTGTAGAACCAGTCGTAAACTCCATCTGAAAAAATGGTATTAAATTTTAAATTTTTTTACATTTGAAGTCATTATTCATATTTGATCATGAAAAATTATTCATTACATATATACTGTACTGTACAGTATTATCATAATGTCAGTTACGTAGCAAAATTACCATACAGAATCTTTGTGAATCTGGACCAAGGAAAACCAAAAATACTTCCAAATGAACTAGGAATAATAACGAGACAATAATCTGGAGTTCTGTTTATTGTGAAGTGTATAAATAATACAAATGAACAAATAAATTTCAGTACAAGAAAAAACTAATAATGTACAGTAAAGTATCTGTCAGTCGAAAATCTACTTTACAAAATAATCTACGTACTGTATTGCACGAAAGATTTGAGCATTCTAATTTCCAGTTCTGCAGTTGCTCATACTAGACCCTTGGAGTTAATGTGCTATCCTAAATTCCTGCCAGCTTATTTACTGGGTGTGAATGTTGCAGTCACAGATGCTTGAGCTGGGACCAACAATGAGTCAAGCACCAGTCTTCAAGGAGTCTTGGTTCCTCCTGGGCATGCTCTGTACTCTTTGTTTAATAGTGATTATATTTTGCCCTTACAAAGGCTCTCAAACAAATGTAAAAGTGATAGAACTGATATTAACAGTGTTAAAGGAAATGCAAAGTGCCAAGTATAAAAGAAATGGTGGAAATTATGTAAAAACTGGACCAAGAACAGTCAAAGAACAAACTGTGTGACCTATACAGTATGTCTCAGGAACCATGACAGTCTATGCATTTCAAGAATCAGCATGAGAAAATATTAAGATTCTATGCTGATAGTGAGTCACAGGAGTGTGTGGTTCAAAGAAAAAATCTCAGAGAGCCTAAGTGCACCAGCCTAGATAACATGGTAGATGAATGGTTCAAGCAACAAGCAAGTGGTTAAAGATATGAAGGAATTCCATTTCTAGACCAATGCATTGTGATAAAGACTAATGAAAGTTTTAGCCATCAAACAGTACCCTCTCTGCATGCTGTGCTGGCTTAACATCCTCCTCAGAAAGTTTCATGAGAAACTGTATTTCTACAGTGCTGTGGCAGTGGGCTGAATTTAAAAACTTAAAAAATGGCATACCATTTGGTGCCTTAAACCCAGTGGAGAAAAAAATGTCAGAAGACAAAGAGGTACAGAATGTTTGTAAGCCAGCCACAATTCCTGCCTGGACACTGCCAGTACCACCAGCTCGTCATCTCAGCTGACCTCTCCAGTCATCTCTTGTGTTTTGTCAATAGTCTCCACACCCCCAAACTTGTCTTCAATTCCAAATACCACATTTTCTCTTACAGCTCTACACTTTCTTGTGTACATAATTAACACAAGAAATTTAAGAATACAGATTGATTTTCTTTTATTAAATGTTCCACATACATCTGCTTTCTAAAGGTAACAGATAGGCTACATCATCAGCATACAACATTACCCAGGGCAGACCCATCCTAAAGTCCTATGATAGTGCCTCCTGCACCATGATAAACAGAAGGGGGCTAAAGACAGACCCTTAATGGACCCATACTTTCACCTAAAATTTTTCACTTTCCCTCACCATTTACTCTCATGTGGGGTTTTTGAGCCCTCACATAATGCCATAACCACTCAACTAATGCACTACTTGACTCATAGCTTTCCCATTGCCCACTTTACTACTTCATGAAGTACCTGTCTAATGTCCTTTCTAGGTCTACAAATATGAAGTACAATTTTCTTTTCTTCCCTAGATATTTCTCTTCTAGCTGCCTGGCCATAAATATTGCCTCTGTAGTCCCCCTACATGGCATAAATCCAGCAAGCTCATGAAAAAGGACAGTGGTTCCCATGGGCATTATGGCCTGTTAAGTACAGTGTTTGAACACCCCACTAAAGACTGAGCAACTATCTTCAAAGCAAACCATTGACTTTCACCTTCCTAGCTTCAAATTTATGGACCCATTCTGCTGATGAGCCTACAAGAGGTGGTGCCCTATTCAGAGGGCAGCCATGGTACAGTACATTGACTTGTCGCCTCTGGATCAGCATGCAAGTTTAAAGTTGGCCTCTATTCCCTTTAAACTGGCTAAATGTAACATGCAGCATGGTTAACTAAATGAAACATGAATGAGCTCCTCCCATCAAAATATATGCAGAGACCTTTGCACCTTAAACTAGCTAAGGCAGCTGTTGATGCAGCCACCAAAGATATGATAATTCCATTTACTGATTCCACCACATGAGGGAGGACAACAGAATCACTAATGGTGATTCTATTTATAGTCTGTAGTCTAATGAAGAGGAAAGTCTTTGCTGCAAAATACTTTTTTTAAGATATAGTTTCCAAAGCAAAGGTTTACCAATTGCTTAGATTTGTTCCAGCCACTTATGTCAAGTCTCTTGGGTACACACCAATGGTTTAGTGAGTGCATTATACTTGAGTAGCCAAGAGGAGGATGGTTAACCATAAAATTATCTAATAAAGATGAGTGAATGAAGTAAACTTACCTGTAGAGAAAGGCTGCAAGAGGCTGCACTTGACTTACATCTCCTTGAACAGTACCAGCAAGGTGTTCCCAACCGGACAGCACAGCACTCACTCGATTCTCGTAGCTTACACCTGGTCGAATCAATTGGCTCTCAATCTCCTGCTGACAAAGAATGAGTGTCATACCAATGAATCACATTCTCTTCAAATGGATGAAAATTATCACCAAAAATATTTCACAATAATTTATTTCAAGTACTCATCTCACAAATATATTCACAGTTATATGAATGCTGTGTTAAAGACTTATGTCGATATATATGGGAGATATTAGTCCAGTATTTACTACAACAAAAAACAGTGATGAATCCAAACTCTTCTATGCACTGTAAAACATACTCTAAGGCAGTGCTACTCAAAGTGTGGTCCGCGGACCGGTGCCGGTCCGTGAGCCATCGTCTGCCGGTACGCGGAGAGTTTTCAGAAAAGAAAGAAACGATAGTCACGTTCCACACCACGTGACACTGCCGGGACATCTGACTCGGTCTTTTTTTTTTTTACATTTTCATTGTAGTTTTTATATTTATTATGGCTATATTTTTCATTTACTCACTCATGTTAAAAGTCATTGCTGTGCAACTAACGAATGCGATATAATGAACAGCAAAACAGCGAACTGAAATACGTATAACAACACCTTCATGATGATGTGGCGTTTGACTCTGTGGGAACCACACCTGGGGATATCAATAGGGCGCATCACCTTGTGTTGCCAGAATTGCCACGTTTCTCGGCCACCAGTTACGCCATATCCACCCAAAACATAAATCTTTTTATTTTAAGTATGGTAGTTATTTAATTTCGGATAAAATAAATGTATGCATCCCATTAAAAGAAATGACCGATTTTTTACTATGCGTGCCAGCCGTGAAGGGTGTCACACAGCTGGCAACCCTGCTATTCCACACGTGTGGATCAGCAGTCTGTGATGTCAGGTCACAGGTCAGTGGTTAGTTACCATCAAGAAGTGGAACAGAGAGCATCATACGGGTATCTGCGTGTTTGTCATTTGGGACCCCATCCCAACCCACTTTTATATTCATTATATTATTCCTGTATAAAATAATATTACTACGAATGTTCAAATAATATTTTCTCTGATCATAAACAATTAATTGTATGGCACAAATATGGTACTGGTCCCTGGCACACTGGGAAGACTTGTTACGTCAATGATGATTGGCCTTAGAATGAATAAGACATCATGTCTTCATGTTTAGTACAGATAGTCTCAAAATGCCCCTGAAATAGGACATATCTCAAAAGATTTTCCTGGGGGGGGGGTATAGGCCCCGGGATTGGCTCGCTTCACTCGCCGGTCCGTGGCACATTGAAAAAAAACCATGCTGGTCTGCCACATCAGATAGTTTGAGAAGCGCTGCTCCAAGGTACAGTACACAGATGACCTGGCTCATTAATGACTTTTCTAAAAATATTGTAGCTAAAAAAAGCTATACTAAGTCTTTGGTACCCAAAAAACCACCTTGGCCGGCACTGCACACGACCGCCTTCACTTCCCAAATTTGGAAAGTTACCGGTAAGTACTTTTGCCATAAACCAGGGAGATTTTGGACAGTTTTGAAGAGTTTTCGTTAATAACTCCAGTTACAACAAAACCAGATTTTTTTTATTATGATCAATGGATAGGGTCTGTATCCACATTATATGCTAAAGCTAAAAAAAAAAAAAAGCATACAAACTATCCATAATTATTTTTTTTAAAGTGAGTAAAGTTGTAAAGTCAGGATTGTGGTGACTTCGGACAACCAATGATTTATGTAGAAAACGAGTATACACCACACAGCAAGTTTTCCTGGAGATGCATGGGTGACTTTGCACACTTTGTCATTTTATTATTATTTTTGTATTTATTTATTTTGCTAAATACAATACTATAGGTCACTTGGTACATTTTCTAATGACTCACTGAATTACAAAATGAAATATGTATGCATTGCAAAGTTAGAAATGCAAAATAAACTTGAACAAGAGTTTATTTACTTTGGTCAAGGCCCTACATCAACATCAAAAATCATAATGCACTTTTGATTAAGTTCTGGTTCTAGTAGAACAAAAAAAAAAAAAACTTGTGCTCATGAAAAATGAATCTGAAAAAAGGCACAAAAACAATAGCCTTAATACCCTGTCTGCAGTTGCCATGAAAAAATAAAAAAATAAAATTAAATATACAGGTATTCCTCGAGATGTGAATATTCATGATATGAAAATTCACTAGTATCAATTTCCTAAATTGACACCACAATTTCATGTTAAGAAAGCTTTACCTGCTTAAATGAATTTGAGTCCCGGCAAAAAATTCAAATTGCGCACCCTAGGGAGTCAACTGGGGCAGCCACATCCCCCTAGCACTTTTCTTACCAGGCAGAGGAAGGAATTATGTTATGGTTATTTTCAACTCATAATTTCAGGTATAAAGTAGAACCTTGATAAATCGCACTATTTGGGGCAGACCCCAGTCCAAAAAAGGCAAGTCAGAAAAAAGCAAATACAGCTCCTCCCCGACTTACGACCACCCGCACTTATGAACCTGCCTCAGTCGTACCAAAATTTGGACAAATTACGTATTTTCGAGTCCAAAAGTCAGTAAACAGACAAAATTTTCATTTGTAATTCACATTAAAATAGCTAACAAGCTTAAAAGTGAGTGTTTTGTGGTGCTGAGAAGAAAAAAGAGACACCCAATTTAGATTTTCTATGTACAGTACTGTATTATTTACGCATTTCCGACTTACGACCTGGATTTGGATCCCTAACCCCGTCGTAAGTCGGGGAGGAGCTTATATATGTATGTGCAGTATATATATATGTATATGTATGTATATACAGTGGGGTATGCTATAATGAACGGATCCTACTACGAATATTCCTATAACGAACGGTTTTACCTATAAAATTGAGAATGCTATAACGAACGAAACTCCTACAACGAACATTATTTAATTTTTTTTTTTTTTTAATTTATTGTTTTTTTATTACAAATATTAATGATATTCTTTATTTCAGGGGTTTAGATGCATATTTATGCACTTTTTTACAATTTTTACAATTTTATATTATATTTTTCAGTGTTAAGTGGTTGTATTTGGGGGCCTGGAACGGATTAATCCTATAACGAACGAATGCTATAACTACAAGGTTCTAGAACCAATTAGATTCGTTATAGCATACCCCACTGTACCACAAAATTGGAGAAATAGTAAGCAAAAATCGCGTTATAGCAAACAAGCGTTCGCGTTATACAAATATCGTTCCTAATTCATAAATCGCGTTAGAGCAAATTCGCGTTATCAAAACACGCGTTATAGCAGAACTCACTGTAGGCCTATAGCAAATTTGATTAGACCACAGTACAGTATTCAGTATGTGTTGTTTATTTCATAAGATTTTTTTATTAATCTTCCCCCGCCCCCTTTTTAGTATTTCTGGTGACCAGAGCAGCTCAGTCTGAAAAAATCAAATTCCGATACATTGAAGTCTGATTTATCAAGATTTTACTGTACAGTAAAAGTATAACTTTCTTCTTCTTTTTCATTCAGTTATATGCACAAACAATCCTACATAAAGAATGTGCAAAAAAATAAAAAATAATAATAAGAAAAAACAAATAATAATTATAATAATTATCATAAGGTCAAAATGAAAAGAATTAATATTTCTTCGTGCACCAGCGAGAGTTAGCAGGATGAGCTGTGGGGGGGGGGGTGTATTTTTCAACTCGTAGTTTCAGATAGATAAACTTAACTTCTTTGCCTTATTTTTTACTCAGTTACATGCACAAACAATCCTACATCCATAATGTGCAAAAACCATAAGAAAAATAACTATGATAAAGTAAAAAAAACATAAAGGGAATAAACATTTCTTTGTGTGTGAGAGCGGGGAGGGAGCGATGCGGATCAGCAGAGGCGACCAGGGTGGTTGATATGGCGACACTTGAGGGCGGACACGCATGAAGCAGCCAGCATCAATGTTAAACTTTGATTTAGCCTTCCTTAATAGTCTTAGCTGCATATTTCCATCTAGAGAGTATTTTATTCATGGTTTTTAATGTGTTCGGTAGTAAATTACAGTAGTTGTGTAATATTTATTATTAGTTAGATAAGTTTTTTCTTGTTTGTGGAACAATTTCATGTTTTGGGGTTATGATATTGGGGTATTTTTGTAGCTGGGAAAATCCTCACAAAAATCAGAAACAGGACAACAAAATGTATCAAAATGTAGAAAAAAAAATGAGTCTACAGTACCCCCAAGTCAACTCCATGCTTTGTTATTAAAATTGGGTTGGTTGGGTTGTCACATAGCAATTATTTCCTCGTAAATTACTCTGTAGAACAAATGGCATCAGAGCACCAGCTGGGTTGATACAGAACAAGTATACTGTATAGCTATTTTCGTCACTTCTAATAAACACGAGAAAATAAATACACACCAATACGTTCACAACCTCCTAGATCAAAATTATCTGAGCCAACTTTTTAAGTTCTACTTATCATGAATATCACGTGAATCGCGTCATCGTGCGTGAGAGGGTTAATAAAGGAGTTAACCTTTTAGGGGCAGAGGTCCTTCCTAAGCTGAATAAAATCATCTAGCGTTAGCCCTATATAAATCGTCTGCCCCTCAGCCAGTATAAATCGTCTGGCATTAGCTAGTACAAATCGTCTGGTATTAACCCTTAAGCCCTGGGTTAGGGTGCTGCTGGCACCGATAAATCGAGAAAAAAAAATTACGGGACAAGGCGAACGTTTTGGAACGTCTCCTGGGGCCTAAGAGTTAACCAGTATAAATCGTCTGGCCTCAGCCACTATAAATAGTCTGACATTAGCCAGTATAAATCGTCTGGCATTAGCCAGTATAAATCGTCTGGCATTATCCAGTATAAATCGTCTGGCATTAACCAGTATATAATCGTCTGCCCTCAGCCAGTATAAATCATCTGGCATTAGCCAGTATAAATCATCTGGAGTTAGCATGTGTAATTGTCTGGTGTTTACCAAAATAAACTATCAAAAGTCCACTTGTCAAGCATATGATGCTATATGTCACCTCATAGATGTTTTGGTGTTCACCTCACGTGTTATT